TCCAAGGTAAGGGCAGGGGACAAAGAACTAAGACAGAAAAAGATGAGGAGATAGTGAAAGCACCCACGGACATTTGCCTGGAGTTTTATTTAATGTTTGCATAAGCTTGTCCTCAATAAAGACATTTTATCTCTTACATAATAAGGTGTGGAAGTTGATGCTTTAAATATGTGGGGTCTTTTTTTTTTTTTTTTTTTTTTTGAGACAGGGTCCCATTTTGTTAGCAGGCTGGAATGCAGTGGCGCAGTCATGGCTCACTGCAGCCTTGAATGCCCAGGCTCAAGCAATTCTCCCACCAGAGCCTCCTGAGTAGCTGGGACCACAGGCATGTGCCACCATGCCCAGCTAATTTTTAAAAATTTTTTTGCAGAAACGAGGTCTTACTATGCTGCCCAGGCTGGTCTCAAATTCCTGGGTTCAAGCAATCCTCCCGCCTCAGCCTCCCAAAATGCTGGGATTACAGGTATGAGCCACCATGCCCGACTGATCTGTGGGGCCTTGATCAAAAAATTCTCAAGAGAATTGGGAGCAAAGTTGAAGGTTTGATAACAAAGACACATAGTTACCACCTGGTGGCAGCATATCTAAACTAAAGACTTGTGAGTGTGACGTGTGTGTGTGTGTGTGTGTGTGTGTGTGTGTGTGTGTGTACACCCACGCAAGCAAGTTCAGGGGAAGGAGAGATTGGAGCAGAATTGTACGATCTCATGGTCAGAACCCAACACCTCTCTCCAACCCCATTTCAGTTAACACTGGGAGCTTCCCCTATAACCTTCCAACTCAGGTGGTTGCCTTGGATTCTCTTTGGAGAAGCAACCTCATTACCACCCCTTTCCCAAACTCAAGTCAGAAAGATTTGTCCCAACAACAGTTAGGTGATCTCCAAAGCAGTGGTCTGAAACCGGCCTAAAGCCTGCCACCCTATAATGTTTGTACTGTGAGCGAATCAATGAGTAAGCGACTGAGTGAATGAACACAGCCTAATTTCCTTAATATGGTTATTTTCAGCCTCTAGGGTTACCACAGTCAATGGTGGGGCACTGATAAATGTGGCAATCTAGACATTTAGAAATAGCCCCTGTATAAGTGTCTATCTCAGGGCTGACAAATGCAGACCCTAGAAAGGCAGGCCAGGAGAGCCCTATATTCCAGTGGGACAGCAGACAGATTTGCCTCCTGGGAATTCGAAGACACAGATTCCTGATCCAGTCCTCCCTTGATGGGACTTAGGTAAGTTACTAAATCTTGGAGCCTTAGTTTTCTTTCCTGTGAAACAGAGATCATCCTATGCACTAAACCCTAGGGTGGTCAGGTGAGATCACGGAGACACAGGCAGTCCGTGGACTTTGAAAGGGCTGCCAGGTGTTCCAAGTTATTACTCTGCTGGGGGGTGCTGCAAATACGCATTTTAGATTTAGCAGTTTGTCCTTTATCCTACTTCTTTATGAATTAAGCTACCTTGTCACCTACTGAGCCACCCTTAGGAAAATGAATTATTCCTCCCCAAGTCCAAGTTGCTGCTGCTTCTGAGCCAGGAGGTAAGCGATCATTCTCAAGGTTAAACTTGACAGCCACAGGGACAGAAACACAAACCAAACCATGTCTAGAGTCAGAAAATTCAGAGTTCATATAATCGGGGAAATGAAAAATGTGGGCCAGCCACGGTGGCTCACGCCTGTAATCCCAGCAGAGTAATAACTTGGAACACCTGGCAGCACTTGGAATAACTTGGAACACTTTGGTTTGGGAAGCCAAGGCAGACGGATTGCTTGAGCTGACAAGTTCAAGACCAGCCTGGGCAACATCACAAAATCCCATCTATATGAAAAATACAAAAAATTAACTGGGCATGGTGGTTCATGCCTGTAGCCCCAGTAACTCGGGAGGCTTAGGTGGGAGGACGGCTTGAGCCGGGAGGCAGTGGTTACAGGGAGCTGGGATTGCTGGGATTGTGCCACTGCACTCTAGCCTGAGCAATAGAGCCAGAACTTGTCTCAAAAAAAAAAAAAAAGAAGAAGAAGGAAGGCAGGCAGCAAGGAAGGAAGGAAAAAGAAAAATGCGGTGAGTTTCCTTTTCCTATGCAAAAAGCAGCCAAATGTGACAGCCTGCCTCCCCCACTGGTGGCCTCCTTCCAGCTCCACGGCACCCAGAAGCCCCCTGGCCCGGGTGACTTTACAAGTTGCCAGTTGGCTACAAACCAGGCTAGCTCCACAGCACACTGCTGCCTTGGGAAGCCCTGGTAAACCTCACCGATCCTGCTGTGAGGGGCCCAGCAGACCAGGAATAATGGGAGAGACACCTTTGGCATTCCCTGAAGGTTTCCAGTGCTGTGGTGGGAACATGGCATGTGTTAGAATATCCAGGGGGACAAGTGTAAGGCTCTGTCAACCCTAAACTGCCAATAAAGTAGGGCTTTCTTTAACTGTCCAGTAGTTTCATAGCAAAGACACAGGGCAGAAAGGATGATGCAGTCTCCAGATTCAAGTGGGTACTGGTGGTTCTCCAAGTGTTCTTTTGTGAGTGAGTCCCTATTCCACAATGGAAAGGATTGGTCCTACCCACTTCCCTGCCTGTATCTCCAACAACCAGAAGAGATCAGTAACTGAAATGTGCTAGATGCTCCAGAAATGCTTATTGGGTATATGGATAGGATGATGGGCAAGGCTAGGGGGCGCCAGAGGCTGCTTTGTTATCCAATATCTGGAGTTGCAGATAGGGGAAGAAAGGCTATAGAGGCTAGATGGTTTTTCCAAAAGGAACCACGACTAAAATGCGTGGTGTTGGATAACAATTTCTGCCACAGTATACAGAATATGGTCCTAATGACAGAGAAATCTGGATTCAAATCTGGGCTCTATCACTGATTGGCTGTGACACTTTGGGAATGTTCAGTCCCTCTGTGCCTCTGTTTCCCCATTTGTAAAGTGCAGGTAAGAAAAGCATCCTAGTGGGTAGCTTTCGGACTTCAGTGAGATCAAGGGTGTGGATGGTAGTGATGGTGCTTTCTCTCCCCACATCCATGTCAAGGCACAGCTCATTTGGGAAGAGCTTCCACCAGCACTTCCAAGCCTCCCAGTTAGGTGCTGGAGGGAGCTTTTATTGCTCTTTCCCCTAAAGGAGCACCCAATCTAACTGACAAACACCTAAACAACCACTGGACCACATCTTGCAGGTTCTGGGATCGGTGTCAAAGGCTTGCTGGCATCAGAGACTGCCTCTGGCCCTCTGATCAACCTATGCCTTCTCTCCAAGGCACCCTGTTGGCGCCTGCTCTTCCATGAGTTCACGGATGGGAAAGTCAGGCCCGCCTCCCTGTGGGCCCAGGGCCCTACTGTCTTCTTTTCAGGCTGAAGGCTTGTAATACTCAATCTAGCCCATTCCAGAAACTTCCCCATCCATAATGTTGATACCTTGGTGGATACTTCTCTTTCTTGAATCTATTAATGAAACCCATAGGGAAGGAGGGTTAAGTCTCCAGTGGTGCCTCCGCATGCTTAGCATTTGATAGCGAATGATGGTAACACATGAATAAGCCTCTTAGAGGGCCTGCTGTGTGGGTCTCCTGCTTCAACTCCAGTATGTGTGTGGAGATCACATCCACTGTTACCTAGATCAGTGGTTCTCAAGGGTGGTGGCACTGCCCCCCTGGGGCATTTGGAAAAATCTATGAGGGTGTTTTGGGTGGTCACCAAGGAGATGGCATTTAGTAAAAGGGGGAAGGACCCTAGACATCCTGCCATGTGTGGGACAGCCCTGCCCATTGAAGAGGTGTTTCACGTCCCTCGTGACTTTCAAATATTCCTCTAGACATACATTTAAGTTTTAAAAAGCACTTATGATACATATTTATACCTTTATGTATATTTCTGCACATCTGTGTATCTGTACATGTATGTGTATATTTTTAAATTTAATGTCAGCAGATACAAGCAAAAATATAAACAAATATACCTATCATTTTATTACTAATTATTACTAATGCCATATTGGCTGGGAGTCACAAGTCACATAACTTCTCTCAACTCAGTTATACGTTCCTATTTTGTTTTGAGTTTAGGTGCTGGAGGGGAACTTTTACTGCTCATTCACTTTTGTCAAAATGTATTACTTTGCATTGGAAAAAACAAGATAATAAAATATGGGCAAAGTTTGTAAACAGTTTACAAGAAAAATCATGATCCTGAAGAATATTTTGAAAATAAGTTTACTATATATTAATGCAATAAGATCAAATTACCCCTCGCCCTCAAAAAATCTGCTTATTATTTTCTGAGCCTAGAACCTAAACTGTTTCACATATAAACACATCTTATTTTTGCACTTAATTTGTTAGAAATTCAATTTCTATGAAAATGGAAAGGAAATCATAGAGTTGTTCATCATCTAGGAAAATCCGGATGCCAGTGCCAACATTGTTCCCATCATTTGAGCCACCAAGACTGCAGACGTGTGTCAGTCAACGTTTGAAGCCGTAATGTTCACAGTGATTCTGAGTGTGTCTGCATCTGACTATTTTGTCATGACTTCTGGTGCAGGCATGTTTGAGCATGTCCTCTTCTTTAATTTCTCTTTCCTATTTCAATTAGGGCAGTATATTTGATTTCTGAGAATTTTATATGTAGGTAGGTTATATAATATATAAATCTCATGTCAGAGTAGGAAAGGGGGTATTACAACATGTTTGTTATAAAAAGGACCCATGGAGACTGAGGGCTGAGAGCCACCAATTTGGCCTCTCAGATCATGAGGCAATGACTTCATCAATTCTGACTTCCAGATATTTGCTTAAACTCTCCCAGCAGTCACAACAGAGGAAGTTTGGAGAAGAATTCTGCTTGTCACAGCCATGACTCCAGCCCTAGCTTTGTGTAAAACAGGACCTTCATCTCTCTGGGGTGAAGTGAGGGTAAGTAGGGACTGCCCCACGCTGTCGTCAACTGGAATGAGAAAAGCTGTTTCTCAGCAGAAAGGTGGAAGCAGAACTGGGTCGTGCTACTTACAGAGGTCTTCAGTGGCAGCTGGGACGAAGGCAGCCATGGACTCATAGAGATCCTCGTCACAGCCGGGGTTGAGCGAGCATTTCATGAGCAGGTCTGTGGAAAGGTGGGCCATGGACTCGTACACAGCGTCAGCCTCCTCCCCTTGCATCAGTTCCTCTTTAATGTGACTCTTGAGCATGTCCACCGTTTCCTGAAAGAGAAGACGAGACCCACGGCGCACTGAGGCCGCCTGGCTTTCTGGGTGGAACTTGGCCCCCAAAGGCACTTGTGGCCAGCAAAGTAAAGGTTCCCATGAGTCAGGATTGCAATTGGTTGTGTGTATTTGTATTTTCCCGCCTGACTGAATGCTCCTTGAGGCCAGGCTTCCCACCTTTTTTTAGTTTCTTTTATGTTTTTGTTTTAATCTTCGTATCTTCCTACAACACTAAGCATAGAGTTAGGCACTCAGGAGATACTCACTAAATGTCCACTGACCAGAGGATACAAATTAAAAATTACTTTCCCATGGCCAGGTGTGGTGGCTCACACCTGTAATCCCAGGACTTTGGGAGGCCAAGGTGAGTGGATCACCTGAGGTCAGGAGTTCAAGACCAGCCTGGCCAAAATGGCAAAACCTCATCTCTACTAAAAATACAAAAATTAGCCGGGCATGGTAGAGCACGCTTGGAATCCCAGCTACTCAGGAGGCCAAGGCATGAGAATTGCTTGAATCCAGGAGGGGGAGGTTGCAGTGAGCCAAGATCGCACCACTGCACTCCAGCCTGGGCAACAGAGCAAGACTCTGTCTAAAAAATAATAATAATTTAAAAAAAAACTTTCCCATGAGCACCTTTTAAATGTCAGGTGCGATGCTAGGTATTTGTCTATACCCTATCTCCTGTAATCCATTCCACTACTGCTAGAGAAAGGTATAATATTCCCTAGTTTACAGACCAGAAAAACAAAGCTCACAAAAATCTAGTATCTTACTCAAGGGCTTGCAATCTGATCTTTGATCTTTCTTCTACACCCTAGTGGTTCCTCCAAAGGGAAAAAATGACACAAGAAGGTGTGACCTTTCCTGACTAGCCACGCAGAAATTCAAATGAGCTGAACAGGAATGCAGCTAAGGTGTTCTCGCACCGTGTGCAGTCAGAGCTCACTCCGCAGCTTGGCACACTAGCCCCTGTTCCTTTCGCAGGCTCCTCCAAACTGTCAGGAACCCTGACCGTTTCCAGGGGTTCGGGCCTCAATTTTATATCCTGTGTGCCCAAAAGCAGAGATGATCTTGGAGAAAGTGTCCTGACATCAGAAAGGTTCTCCCCCACCTCCCATTGCCATCCTGCTTCCATGTGATTGTGAAGCCAGAGAGGTGACTTCCCTGAAACCTCTGCACAACTTTTCCTGGTAAGAAACTTTGGTGTTTCACAATCTTTATTTCAGCATCAACCCACAAAAATCCTCATTTTCACCACCACTACTCTAAGATAACTAATATTTGATTGACACTTCGTGAGTTTCCTCACGAGACCCAATAAGCCAGATGACAGCTGTGAAATGTTGGAGATTCAAGATCTGGCCTTTGGTTTTGATGTGGTGACAAAAGGAAATGGGACAGTTCTAAGAGGCCATAAGCAACACAAAGGGACAGTCTTTTGATCAGAATGCTGAAGCTACATTGGTTGAAGGTGACCATAGGAAGAAAGCAAAGACACTATGACCTAGATTAACTTCAGCACCAACTGCAAGTGCATCTTTCTTTTTTTTTTTTTTTTTTTTTTTTTGAGACGGAGTCTCGCTCTGTCGCTCAGGCTGGAGTACAGTGGCCGGATCTCAGCTCACTGAAAGCTCCGCCTCCCGAGTTTACGCCATTCTCCTGCCTCAGCCTCCCGAGTAGCTGGGACTACAGGCGCCCGCCACCTCGCCCGGCTAGTTTTTTGTATTTTTTAGTAGAGACGGGGTTTTACCGGGTTAGCCAGGATGGTCTCGATCTCCTGACCTAGTGATCCGCCCGTCTCGGCCTCCCAAAGTGCTAGGATTACAGGCTTGAGCCACCGCGCCCGGCCGAAAGTGCATCTTTCAACATGCCAGTTAAATACAACAGGATAACAAGCCCTGGCTTTAGTATCAAACTAGGTGTAAATCCTATCTCTGCCCTGAATAGTTTGTGGCCCTAAGCACAATGACTTTGCCTTTCTAAGCCGTTTTCCTCTTTTGTAAAGTATTGGCTCTCAATACTGTCAACTTCAAAGGATTGTGGTGGGGATTAAATGAGATAATACATTTTCAAATCAAATACATTCAATAAATACTAGTTACTAATATGAACACAGTAGGTTATTAATAAAAACTATTGGCATGGAAATGAAATGCTACATTTGGTACATTTGTGACTTTAAGAAAAAACTGAGTAAATACACCCAGACTGAGAGCACCTTTTAGCCTTATTTGTGTCAGTGATGCCCAAAAAAAGGACTCACACCATTTTATTCAAAATACTTATACACCTGTAAACACTGGGAAGTCCCCTCTGTGTGCCTCCGTGAATCACTGTCTTGTAGATTTTCCAACACAGAGCAGAGAGTTAAGTTTCTGGGGAGATGTCAGGCTCCCTCCTGTCTGGAGGTCGACAGCAAGACTGGGCTGTGTTTATTGCTCCCTGTGAGGTCACAGCCCCATGCCAGAGGCTGAGCTATTCTCAGGTACCCTCTGGGAGTCTGTGAAGAAGGAGGAAAACCACAAAGGACTGGGATCAGGAAGAGCAGCTGCTTCCCAGGCATCAGAGGCCATACTGGGGCATGGAATAAGAGGTAGACATGCGGTGCGATCAGCCTCAAAGAAGGACCCAGAAGTCAGTGTTCGAGGAGGAGCTGAGGGCCCCAAACCAGATGATCAGATAAACTGGGTGTGCCTGCCTGTCTTAAGATGGGATCCAGGCAGGGGGTTAGAAAGAGAAAGCGAGGCTGTCAGCAGGAGGTGGGCCTCAGAGTTGCTGCCCTGATGCCTTCCAGGTGCATAGCTTTATTGTGGTCTCTGCTAAAGAAGAAACCAAGCCTAACACAGTTCACCGGGCCCTGAAGGTGGGCGAGGCAGCTGGGAGCATCCCACCAAGGTGCCCTGGAGGCAGGTGGGGAGGTGGGGGGAGGTATCAGCCTCTACTTTCAGCCGATTCACTCTATAAAGGTTTCTGTAAATTCTTTGAGGGTGAACCTCAGTGCTTAATAGAAATGATTCCATTTTACCTTCAAAAGAACTCTATGACTCGAACTATGATTATCTTCCTTCTGCATATTAGGAAACTGAGAGAGGATACGTGACTTACCCAACATCACAAGGCTAACAAGGGTTGGTACAGGAATTTGGACCCAGGTCCATGTGACTCTAGACCTCATTTCTTAAGCCCACACATACTACCCACAGCCAGAAGAGGCACATGAGGACATGCTAGAGATAAAATCTATTCGTATTTTGGGTGAAAGGGCAGCCATCCTATCACAGCGTGCATTTCCAATCCTGGGCCCCTCCTGCCTTGACCTTACCACATACTCGTCGATGAACTGCCGCAGGTCCCTGAAGCCATGTTTCTCGGCCATGGTGTTGGGGTAGTGGCCATGCTTGTTGGCCACGCTGTATGCCTGCAGGGCTCCTGGGCAGGTGAGCAACAAGGCAGTGAGGTTCTTCAGTCCATACTTCGCAGCAAAATGCAACAGGGTGGGCAGCTCTTCATCCCTCTGATCTGAAAATTATCAAGGAAAACTTAATTGACAGATAAAAATAAAAGCACAGGGTGCCCTTGTTCATGGAGATGAAGCTGCCAAGACTAGCATGGCAACAGTAGGCACTCAGCCATTACTTATTGATTTTCTGACCTAACACGTAACAGCTTCCTTCAGGACACCACTGAAGATCATGTCCTCAGATGCAGAGGAAATACTTTTTTTTTTTTTTTTTTTGAGATGGCGTCTCGCTCTGTCACCCAGACTGGAGTGCAGTGGCATGATCTTGGCTCACTGCAACCTCTGCCTCCCAAGTTCAAGTGATTCTCTCACTTCAGCCTCTCAAGTAGCTGGGATTACAGATGTGCATCACACCCAGTTAATTTTTGTATTTTGAGTAGAGATGGAGTTTCACCACGTTGTCCAGGCTGGTCTCATACTCCTGACCTCAAGTGATCCACCTGCTTCAGCCTCCCAACGTGCTGGGATTACAGGCACGAGCCACCACACCCGGCCATAACATTTTAATTAATTAGCAAATCTAATAATGAATACCCTACCATCTTCTCTAACAGGACTGGAAAATCCTGACAAAAAGTACCAATGCAAAATGTGCTGGGTTTTTTTAAAGGCTTAGCTAGCAGCCACAAAGTACAATAGGAATCATGTTTTGAACTTCTCTGCAAAGTTCAGAGCATGTATTTTTTAAAGCTGTTGTTTCGTGCTGATTAAAAGAAAGAGGTTCATCCTCTTAGCCCTTATTCCTAATTTCATGATAAGTACACCAAGTAATCCTGGGTATGTTCCTTAGACTTTCCGCAGCCTTTAGTTCTCAACCAGAAAATACTTCCAGACTATCTCAAAAGGACCTGGGAGGATTCGTTTAAGATAGTATTCAGCAGGGTTCTTATTTAGGAGAGATTTTGAACATTGGTCTTAATGCACACAAGCCCCGCCAGAACATCAGTTCACTCCCTAATTGGTGGAAAGCAAAGTACTCCAGAGAGGTGCTGGGTCCCCACGGACCCCTCCACCCACTGACATCTGAATATAGCAAGTTAAACTCAACTAAGAAAATGGACATGTTTGTGTTTGCAGAGCTGGGGACAAATCTCTTTTTTTCATAAACGTTTATTTTTAAGCCCAACAACTTTATAGATATATATTTATATACAAATGTATATTTTTTAACATGACAAACCTAGCCTTCTACTTCAAATATGATCCTTGGAATGAAGGGTCTGAAAGTATTCCCAGGATCCCAGATTGTCAGGTTATGAAATACTTCCTCCTAAGCCCCAAGCTTAATAGAGAATAGTCACATCTACAAAAGTGCTGCAAGAACATTCCATAGTAGGAAGATGGGGAGAGGCAATACGAAAGAGAATCCCCCAGGAGAAGGCCTTGAAGGTCATGTAACCTCATCCTTATGGTTCTCTTAGACTGTAGAAGGATGGACCATAGGCAGAAGGTAACCAGAGACTTGGGTCCCATTTGTGTAGTGCAACCATAGCATGAAGGAATGGTAGTGTCCACCGAAACACTACAATAGGCATCCGGTCACACCAAGCACCATCCCTGTGCAAGGGGTGTGACTCTCCCAGCTCCCAGCATGTCACACGTGCACAAGAGGCTGCTCCTCCCCCATTAAACAAGTACTTGTTTAGAGCCTACAAAGAGCCAGCTGCCCAGGAACAGTTCTAGCTCTCACTGAGCAGACAACCTAGCAAAGAAGACACACACAGCTGAGGAGTGCTAGGTCAATGGCAAACAACGTGCTGGTGGTCGGGGGGTGCCAAAGCAGGTGAATGGAACCTATTGGAGGTCTGGAGAAGGCCTTCTAGGGGAAGTGCTACCTAAGCTGCTACAGGGAAGTAAAAGAAGTTAGCCAGGTAAACAGCAACCAAGGCAGGGAGGAAGGACTGTCTTTCCATGAGTCTAAGTGGCAAAAGACAGGTGAAAAAAGCTCATACCTCCTGCAGATCAAAGCATAGAAAAGACAAGAGGGAGTGTGGAGAGAGATGAGCGCTTGTTTACAGGTTAAGCAGTTTGGATTTTATCTAGAAGGCAAATGGGAACCCCCCCTGACAGTACTTAGCTTATCTGTTCCTCACACTAGCCCTATGAGGAATAATCATTACAAGCTCCATTAGCTTACGCCAAACCGATTTAAAATGACTCAATTCCTACTCCTCCGTAAGCCACCACATGTGTTTTGAGAAGGGGGTAAAGTATTCAGATTTGCAATTTAGAAGAATGAGGCTACCCAGTCAAGAATGAGTCCTTACCACAGGATAGGTTATAGAGAAGGGACCCAGAAGAGTTATAGCAGAAGGTAAAGGCATATGTTGATGGGATGCTAAAACCAGCAGGCTGGAATCAGCCCACGTTGGTTTCCTGAGGTTTGACTGTCGACTTACTTGTCATCATATCTTCTTCTTCCAGCTGGTTGATTCCAAAGAGGTGCAGTCCGCTTGCAGGGATATTGTTCTTCAGGGATTCGGTTAGCAGTTTATCAAGGGTCTCTGTGTTGTAGGGCACAATTTTAAAGGCCTGAATACAAAAGTGAAGATGGTCAGATCTGAAATCCAGCTCTCTTCCATCCCACAGATTCAAGACTGATAAGCCATGAGCAGAAATTACATGCCCAGAAAGCTCAGGCTTGCAATATCCTTACCTGACACATGAATTCTACAGGATTTGCGGCATTGGACAATAAATTCCCAATTTCTTCCATGTCAGTATAATAGCTGATAACAGTTTCACACACCACTAAGTCCCCAGAATATATCTTCAGAGAAACGTTCCCAGATGAAAGGTCTGAACAGAAGAAAAGACGCTATCAAAATTCTCAGGAAAAACAAGCATCCGGGAAAAAGTGGCTGTGGATATACACACTCCATCTAAGCAGTGAGGACACTAATTGGGGGCTGGAAGAAAGATCTTGGAGGTGAGCAGGGGCGGGAGTGAGGGAAAGGGTGGAGGTAGCAGGTGAGTAAACCAGCACATGGCAGGGCTCTGGGCCACAGCAATTTATCCTCATTGGGTTTGCAACTTAATTTTCAAAAATTTTCATCTTTTTACTCACTACTGTAGGCCCAGTGCCTCAATGCATAGGAAGAAAATTTGGGTTTAAGGCACTTTACACAAAGGCCAGTGGTCACAGAAGGAGGGAAAAAATCATGGGAGGTGAAACTGTGTTTCTGCCACATTGGGGCCGCTGAATTAGCTCACTGCAAGTCATGAGCTGCTGTCATGACTACGCGCTCTCCCTTGGGCGGGATGCTATGCCACAGGAAGGGGTTTTGAGGGGGAAAGAGAAAATTAAAAATAACACCAACCACAGAGATTTACCAAAGAGGAAATGCGACAATAGAGACCATGGAAAAATATTCACCCACACTAGTAATCAAAGAAATGCATAGGAAAACAATGGACCACTCTTTAAAAAATCTCAAAGTAGCCAGGCGCAGTGGCTCACGCCTCTAATCCAGCACTTTGGGAGGCTGAAGCGGGCAGATCACTAGGATAGGAGATTGAGACCATCCTGGCTAACATGGTGAAACCCCGGCTCTATTAAAAATACAAAAAATTAGCCAGGTATGGTGGCGGGTGCCTGTGGTCCCAGCTACTCAGGAGGCTGAGGCAGGAGAATGGCGTGAACCCGGGAGGCGGAGCCTGCAGTGAGCCGAGATGGCACCACTGCACTCCAGCCTGGGTGACAGAGCGAGACTCCATCTCAAAAAAAACAAAAAACAAAACACAAACAACAAAAAACAAAATATCTAAGTAGCAAACATATTTAAAATGATAATACCTGGCATTGGTGACAGCATAGCAAATAAGCAATGAAGCCCTATGGCATCACATTCACAGGGGACTACTTACTGGGAGCTTTCACGGAAACGGTGTACTCATTCTCCAGCTTGGCTTCCATCCTTACAGAGGGAGAATCCTCAGGAGAAAACTCTGCTTCCGTCACCACCCTGTCATCCAACTTACATCTCACAATAACGTAGACAGTGGTTTCTGCCTGAAATGGGAGGCCAGTCATTGTCCCCTCTCCTCTCAGATCCCCATAGGGTGTTGGGCCCGAGGGTCTCCCCAGCTCTCTTGCCCCAGCTCTACCTAGTGAGGGTCCTTGGGGAGAGGGTGGACTCAGTGGTCCAGTGCTGGGCAGTGAACTGTTTGCTACCAGTCCTAACGAGACAAGTCACAAAAACCAAGAGTACATATTTATAGCAATTGGATGGAGTCATTTTATGTCTGTTGAAGCTGATAATAATAATAACAATAACAATAATAATAATAGTAAAACTTGGCCGGGCATACGGGTGGGCTCACGCCTGTAATCTCAACGCTTTAGGAGGCCGAGGTTGGGGCGGGATCACGAGCGTCAAAGAAGGTTTGAGATCAACCCTGGCTAACATGGTTGGAAGACCCCTGCGCCTCTACTAAAATTCAGAGATCATTGGCCTCCCTACAAATATTGGTCCATGAATTGGACATCTTTTTAGAAATTCTTTGCCACAGATAGCTTGAGAAGCCCTGCTCTAGACCAGTCTTGCTACTCAAGGTGGAGCCAAGGGAGCAGCAGCGTTGGCATCCCTTGGAAGCTTGTTAGAAATGCAAAATCTCAGGCCCCTCCTGGCCCCACTGAGGCAGAGTCTGCATCACAACAAGACGCCATGCACCTTGCAGCCTGAGAGAAGCCCCCCTGGGTTCTGCTCTTCATGCAGTCCTCGATTTTACCATTGGGCAAAAAGAACTTCTCAGGGGATTAATTTTCCCAAACCATCAAGCACCTCGAATTGCTCTTTTAGCTTGCTTTAAGATCTCACACCAAGCCTGCCAAATGGAGTGACTCTGCTGTGCTGGTTACGTGGGGGAATGAGCCTTTCAGTCTGAACTGGTGAGGGCAGACTCTCCAAAAAACACGGGGAAAGGAGAGATTCCTGGCCATAGCAAATCCCCAAGTGTTCCTCCTAAGACTATGCTATAAAGTCTTCAGATTAGCCCTTCATGACAAGGGTCATGAGAGGGTGTGGCAAGCTTGGACTTTATGACAGGTGATGTGGGGGTGATCCTGGCTCCTGGGGCTGCTGAGGCTGCACACACATGTACTGTGGTGGTCATCCCTCCTGCTGCAGGCCCAGCCATGTCCCACCTACACCTTCTGCCAGGGAGCATGAGGAGCCAATGAGAATGTGTGTCTCTCCTACTGACAGTCAGGACCCAACCCCGGCCTGCCCCTTCCCCTCTCCCCAGGATCCAGAAGCCTGAAATTAGCAACAAGAATCCTGGGATAGCAGGCAGTCAAGACAGGAGAAGGAACGAAAGCCTGGAAAAATCATGGAGGAAAGTGAAGGAGATAATGCTTTGGTTCCAACCCACCTTTACCCATGGGCACCCAACAGCCTGACCAGAGGGGCATGGGGAAGGCAGGAAGTGGCATGGGAAGATTTCAAATGGAAATGTCCACAAAGGCATGGCCAGTAAGGTAAGGAATAAGACAGGCTGAGTATAAAGAACAGGGATTGTGGGGACCCGCCAACTGGGGGATGCACGGCCCATGTACAGGGTTGCTCAGCCCCCGCCAGTCGTCTCAGGCCTAATATGACCAGGTTCTGATTCAAAGGAAGCTGAAAACACAGATTTTTATGCCTAACTTTAAAAAACAATTTTTAAAAATAAAATATAAAAATAAAGATGGGAGTCTCACCATGTTGCCCAGGTTGGTCTCAAACTCCTGAGCTAAAGGGATCCACCCGCTTCAGCCTCCCAAAGTCTTGGGATTACAGGTGCGAGCCATTGCACCCAGCCAATGCCTAACTTTTAAAATACTATGTAATCTAGGCCAGGCATGTTGACACATGTCTGTAATCCCTGCATTTTGCGGGGCTGAGGTGAATGGATCACTTGAGGCCAGGAGTTTGAGGCCAACCAGGCCAACATGGTGAAACCTCTCTCTACTAAAAATACAAAAAAAAAAAAATTAGCTGGGCATGGTAGTGTGTGCCTGTAACCCCAGCTACCTGGGAGGCTGAGGCACAAAAATTACTTGAATCTGGGAAGCAGAGGTTGCAGTGAGCTGAGATCTCACCACTGCACTCCAGCCTGGATGACAGAGAGAGACTCTGTCTCAAAAAATAAATAAATAAACACTGTGCAGTCCAAACCAAACATGTCTGATATGGTTTGGCTGTGTCCCCACCCAAATCTCATCTTGAATTGTAACTCCCACAGTTTCCACGTGAGAGGAACCTGGTGGGAGGTGATTGAATTATGGGGGTGGGTCTTTCCTGTGCTGTTCTCATGATAGTGAATGAGATTCACGAGCTCTGATGGTTTTATGAAGAGGTGTTCCCCTGCACAAGTTATCTCTCTCTTTGCCTGCTGCCATCCATGTAAGACATGCCTTTGCTCTTCCTCACCTTCTGCTATGATTGTGAGGCCTCCCCAGCCATGAGGCACAGAAGTCCAGTTAAACCTCTTTCTTTTGTAAATTGCCCAGTCTCAGGTATGTCTTTATCAGCAGCATGAAAACAGACGAATACAATGTCTATCAGTTAAATCTGGCCCAAAGAAACAGTTGGCAACCCCACGTAGGAAGTGCTTGCCCAATGCCTCATGGCCTCAGCCTGCACAAAACCACCCACAAGGGTGAGGAAGCCAGTGCTGCCCACTGCCAAGGCTCCCACGCCCTCTCGCCTCAAGGAGCCCACAAAGCCAGCTTAGCAAAGAGCTTGTATCCATAAAGGAAGCATTCTGCTGCTCTGAACTATCATAAATGCCACACGTTTTTAATTAGGAAAGGAAAAATAATGAAAAACCATCAGTACTAGGGTAGGATTCAAATGGCAGTGGCTCATCAGTTGAACCCTCATACTCAAGTCATCTGTAATGTATGCCCCACCCCTGAAAATGCTAGTCATATGATGTATGGCATTGATCTGATCCTTTTAAAAAGCAATATTGGCCAATGGGTTTTAGCCATCAAGCTTCAAGGCACTTCCTTGGGCCATGGCAGTGGCCAGCGTTGGAGAAGCAAGCTGTCAGATGTCCAACAAGCATTTCCTTCCTCCCAGCATCAGGCTACCAGGAACAGACACAGGTCTCTAACACTAGGGTTAGCGTTAGTATCTGGAATGCTCCTGTCAGACCGTCTCCTAGGTGCTCTATGTTATTACTGATTCATAGAACAGAAGTCTTAGACTGATGACACACATCTCCCTGGGCTAGTCTCTCTCTTACTCAGGGGAACTGGGTGTCTCCAGGGCCCAGGTAACAGGGTACCCAAAAGAAATCCCAAAGGAAGGTTGCAATTATACCCACTCTCTTTACTGCAGTAAATGCATGCATTTGAAAAGCCCAAGTGCTGACATCCAGCTACCAGGCCCCCAGCAATGCCTACCCCACAGCGAATGCGGTCCGGCTGCACCACCATCAGGTTCCCAGGCGAAGTCACCGTCGGCAGGCTCTGCTGCTTCGAGTAGGAAACAACCTTCTCGTCCTCAGGCTCCGTGTCAGTGACTGAGTCACAGCCAGAATCTACAGAATAGAGGACACCGCTGAATGGGAACGGCAGGAAGGAGAACTGGTGGACACGTTCCACCCCATGAGAGCCCCAAATATTGCAAAATAGGAAACGGCTCTGAATGTCAAACCAATACAAGCAGAAGGGACCCACTCAGGAAATCATGAAAGGGGACCTAATGAAGAAAAGCCAACCAGCATGCAGGCCACAGGGCAGGATGACAGTAAGAAGGATGACAATGGTGGAGGGGAAAGCCAGAAAGTGTGACGCCGCAGGTTTAGTCTTAACCAATGGGTTTCCGGTAGCTTTACCTGCAGACTTCCTGCAGGGATGAAGAGGAGTGAGGAAAGAAGGAAGGCCATTTCCCCTTAGGTGGGTTCAAGTACAGACTGCCCACTTAAAGGTCATTCTTGGAACATCAAGTAAAACCTGCACTGTCCAGAAAGCCACTATGTCTCCAGGTTATGGCTAGCCAATGTATCCCCTCTGGAAGCAAAAGTGAAAAGCAATCATCTTCAACAAACTTTAGACAAATCTAACCAGGCTCCACAGGCAACACCTGTACTATGGAAAGATTAGAGCATGCACAGAGTCAGGGCTGGTGAGCAGGAGTGAGAAAATGTGTGGGGTATTGGCACAGAATAAGATGCTGCTGAGAACCTGCCAGAGCTCTAAGGTAGGGGCTCTTAACCAGAATCTGTTCTTTGATAGACCTACCTGTGAGGCTGTGTGCAAGATTGTGTGTGTGTGCACATGCATGCACATGTGTATGTATTTGCCTGTACTTTTCTGGAGATAGATCAAAGCATTCATCAGGTCGCCAAAGAGGGACAGAATCCCAAAATGGTTAAGAACGGTTGAGAGGGCTGGGCGCAGTGGCTCATGCCTGTAATCCCAGCACTTTGGGAGGTCAAGGTAGGTGGATCACCTGAGGTCAGGAGTTCGAGACCAGCCTGGTCAACATGGTGAAACCCCGTCTCTACTAAAAATACAAAATTAGCCAGGTGTGGTGGCGCATGCCTGTAATCCCAGCTACTTGGGAGACTGAGGCAGGAGAATCGCTTGAACCTGGGAGGTGGAGGGTGCAGTGAGCCCAGATTGCACCACTGCACTCCAGCCTGGGTAACAAGAGCGAAACTCCGTTTCAAAAAAAAAAAAAAAAAAAAGAATGGTTGAGAGAAGTTTCACCAGTTTATTTTTTGGGCTTGCTCTTATTCATTCCTTAACCACTGATACAACCAGCCAAATGTGTTAGGTACTTGAGGAAACCAGAGGATGAATCATACTCTAAACCTGCCTTCAGAGAGTCCATCATCTAAAAGGACAGAGGAGGTGAGAGGCAAGGGTTACTTTGGCTGATTCCTGCAGCCTGGTTTCCTGGAAGAAAATTGGCCTCTGCAGAGTTTTTGGCAACTGTCCTGGTAGAATGCTAGGGTTACGAATCAGCTGCTGATAGGCACCCTAGAAAGCTGTAACCACAGGCTTTCACCCTAGACCCCAGGTCATGCTAGGAAGAGGCTGTGCTTCCACAACCATAAGGCCAAGGTGGGGGCAGGGCTACAGGGCCACAGTACCACTGTATCCTATTGCTGTAACTATAAGGCACTGACGCCTGGCCTGCTCAGGCCAGTGGAGGGGCCGGGACTTCTTCCCTAGCCATGCAGCTTAAAATCTCAGTAGCCTAGAGTGGAGGTCCCATCCCAGAGCCTGGCGTCTGAGTGCTGAATGTCTATGGGCTGCCCTAGGGAGCAATGGGCAAAGAGGCGTGTACTCTTGCCACTATTCCCCCTCCATGATTTTTCCCAAGACATGCTACTCGAGAAGGCCTCTTTGAATGCTGCCAGGTCTTTGTCTTTGTCTGTACGTCAGGGAGAATCGAGTGTTAAGACGTAGAGCAAAGGACCCAGAGTGTTCTAAGCAAGGCGATATGGTTTTTAGCTGGGCATCAGAACCATCAGTCTCCTCCAACTCTCCTTTCTAATCCTTCTGGCTCTCCCCTCACTCCCTGCAAAAGCTAACACAGTAGGCTGCCATTTTCTCTGCTGGATATGCCCTTCCTCACACCCATCTCTTCTTGACTGATCACTTCTAAAACAGCCAGGGCCCATCGCCCTGGACAGAGCTATACGTGCCACCCAAGGAGCCCTCACCCAGCACAGGAGCTTATAATGGAAAAAGCCAAAAAGATCAGGGACAATTCATAGTCGTCTTCTTAAGGATTTTATGAAGTGTCAGTTAATTATTATTAGATTCCTGGACATGCCATTTTAAAAAGTATTTCTGAGGTTCTTCTGGGATGAGAAAATAATCCCAAGGACTTGAAACATTCAGTCAGTTACTTAAAACAGAAAGAAGCTCCTTGGAACTATTTCTCGCTCTAGAATTGTTTAGATACTATCCTGAGTGGCCACAGTGGCTGGAATGGCTCAACCTCTTTCCAATTACCTATTCTAATATATCACACAGGTATAACCTCTTTGGGATGGACCCACAGTGCAGTCTACCATTGGTTCAATGAAGAAAAATCCTTTATTTCTCCCAAATTACTGGCCCACTAGTCTTCTGGCCAAAGAGTCAAAGCTCTAGTAAATATAACTTAGAAAAGAATGGAGAAAATATAAATTAGTCAAATGAGAAAGGAATGGTAACTACACATATTTTAAGAAATTTTAAGAAACACATTGAAGTGAAAAGTCTATGGTAAGAATTCATATTAAAGTGAGAACTCTGTGCTTAGAAAATCTCAATGCAGCCAGGTGTGGTAGCTCATGCCTGTAATCCCAGCACTTTGGGAGGCTGAGGTGGGAGGATCACTTAAGTCCAGGAGTTCGAGACCAGCCTGGGCAACATCGTAAAACCCTGTCTATACAAAAAAGAAAAGAAAAGAAAAGAAAATCTTAATGCAATTTTAATAGAAAAATATAAAGTATCAAAACTGTCTTTAAAGAAGTAAAAAACCTGACTAAATCAATAACCATGAAAAAAAGTAATAACCATGAAAAAACTCTCCTCAGTTTTAAAATAATATTTAGAGTAAAAGCCACACAACCTTCTTTCAATTGAATTTAAAGTCTTATTTGGGACAATGTTCTTCTTTATAATACTAATTTTTTCCTACCCTGGAAACCTCCATTTATACAGGTATTATGTCTTCTAGTAAAGTTTTAAAACATAATAAAGGATTGTCCTGTTTTATATTAAAGCTATTTAAAAACAGAATGGACAGAGCAATTAAATACAAGAGATAGTCCAGAATTAAGGCTTCATTCCCATAAACACTTAATATGGGATTTAAAAAAGCATTAAAAACCAGTACAGATCTGTTCTAAGACATTGTCAAGAGAATGCAGAGATTAGCCGTCATCTGGGAGAAAATATTTGCAAAAGACATATCTAATAAAAGACTTGTACCCCAAATATACAAAGAACTCTTAAAACTCAACAAGCAGAAAACAAAAAGCCTGATTTTTAAAAAGGGCAAAAGACCTGAACAGACACTTCACCAAATAAGACACATGGATGGCAAAGAAGCCATCTGTGTATCTTGAAAAGATGGTCCACATCAGATGTCATCAGGGAAATGCAAATTGAAACAGCAATGAAATAGCACTACACATCTATGAGAATGGCCAGAATCGAGAACACTGACACCACCAAATGCTGGGAAGGAAGTGGAGCAACAAGAACTTGCATCCTTTGCCGAGGTTCTTCTCCTTTGCTGGTAGGAATGCAAAATAGTACAGCCACTTTGGAAGACAGACTTACAAAACTAAACATAAGCTTACTAAACAATCCAGCAATCGTGCTCCTCAGTATTTACCAAAAAGAACTGAAAACTTACAGTCACACAAAAATCTGCACACAAATGTTTATAGCAGCTTTGTTCATAACAGCCAAAACTTGGAAGTGACCAAGATGTCCTTCAGTAGGTGAATGGACAAAGTGTGGTACACCCAGACAATATAGTACTATTCAGCACCAAAAAGAAATGAGCTGGCAAGCCCTGAAATGCCATGGAGAAAACCTGAATGCATATTACTAAGTGAAAGAAGTCAATCTGAGCCAGGCACGGTGGCTCATCCCTGTAAATCCCAGCACTTTGGGAGGCCAAGGTAGGCGGATCACCTGAGGACAGGAGTTCGAGACCAGCCTGGCCAACGTGGCGAAACCTTGTTTCTACTAAAAATACAAAAATTAGCTGGCCATGAAGCTAATACAAAAATTAGCCTCTCAGGAGGCTGAGGCAGGAGAATCACATGAACCTGAGAGGTGAAGATTGCAGTGAGCCAAATTGCACCACTGTACTTCAGCCTGGGAAACGAGCAAAATTCCGTCTTTAAAAAAAAAAAAAGAAGTCAATCTGAAAACACACTGTATGATTCCAACTATATGACATTTTGGAAAAGGGAAAACTATGGATCAGTGGTTGCCAGTGGTTAGGAGGAAAGAAACAATGAATAGGCAGAGCACAGAGACTTTTGAGGGCAGTGAAACTACTCTGTACGATACTATACTGGTGGGTGCATGTTATTAGACGTTTGTCCAAACCAATAAAATATACAACACTAGGTGAATCCTAATATAAGCTACAGCCTTTGGGTGAGAGATAATGATGCATCAATCTGTAGATTCATCAGTGGTAACAAATGTGCCACTCTGGTGCTGGATGTTAATGGGGGTGGGAGGAGGCTGTGTGTACGTAGGGGCAGCAGAGCGGACATGGAACTTTGCATGCTTTCCACTTAATTTTGCGGTGAACCTAAAACTGCTCTAAAATATAAAGTCTATTCAAAAATATTAGCCAGGCATGGTGGCATGTGCCTGCAGTCCCAGCTACTCGGGAGGCTGAGGTGGGATGATTGCTTGAGACCAGGAGGTGGAGGTTGCAGATCATGCCACTGCACTCCAGGCTGGGTGACAGAGTGAGACACTGTCAAGCAAGCGAGAGAGAGAGAGAGAGAGAGAGAGAGAGAGAGAAAGAAAGAGAGAGAGAGAGAGAGAGAGAGAGAGAAAA